AACTGAGAAAAAGGAATGGAATTCTTAACATGAGATGGATGCGAAGACGAATATAACTAGTAATTATGCGAGTCTGTAGGTTGCATAAACCGTTACCTTCGATTGAAACTTTGATGTCTAAAAAGGATAAGGAATTGTTGGCGGAAATTTCCCAGGTATATTTCAGAGCCGGGTGAAAAGAATTGACTGCGGTTATGAATTGAGTCAGTTCCTCTCTGGTAGAGGAGGTAGCGCCGATACAGTCGTCGATGTAGCGACCGTAGAGTTCAGGTTTGGAGCCGTTGTATTGGTTGAAAAATTGGTATTCGACAAAACCTACAAAAAGATTGGCATAGCTAGGTCGAATTATATCGCAGTCTCTCATGTAACTCAAACATAAAATAACCTAAATTCAAAAGCGCTGTCAGCGAAAAAGGGAAACTTAAAAGATTTTGTTCTTCGAGATGTTATCGGGTGAAAAATATACTCTTACATTGGTTCATGAAGGTCTAATCTACACAAACAAAGAAGACTTACCCTAAGGGCTCAGTAAATTTTACAGGTGCCTCATATAATTTTCTAAAGGTTCGTCAGCAAATTAATAATAATAATAATAACAATAATAATAATAATAATAATAAATAATATTTAAAGAGGATACTACTATCACATTGAGTTGTTTTCAGGGGGGTGCTCTGACTAAAAATACATTTAGATTAGGTAAAAACGAGGAAAAAATTTGTATCTGTAGATGTATAGAAGCATATAAAGATACTAAGATTAAAATACTAAAATTAAAAATATGCTAAGGTTTATAAGGAAATTTTAAAAAAATAATTATTTAAGTGTCTTTTAAAAGTGAATGGTGGCATAGGCTTTTTCAACTCAGGCGGAAGTGCCAACCATTCTATTGTTGCTTGATAAGATCAAGATGTTATGCGTCGTCCCCATTCCGTTGTAAATCTGCCAAAGCGTGGAAGGTGTCCATTTCTGGTGTTGAAACCATGTGAATTTAGTGTTGATTTAAAGTTATCAAAGTATTCAGGAATGTTTCCTTTTAATGCGTTCTGAACAAGTAATAATAATAATAATAATAATAATAATAATAATGGTTTATTCAAGAAGGCCTTGCAGAGCCAGCAGTATTCTTTAAAATCTGTGCAATTCCTTATCTTTGCTGGCAATTAGTTAAAAATCGTGGCTGTTGAATGCTAAAAGTTGCCTTGTACAAATGGAACATAAAGCCTTGGAGCAACACTGGAACGGAGATGCCTAACGGGTTTAACGACTTGCAAATTTTAATGGGAGGGCCAGTTATCATAATACAGTGCTTTAAAAATAGTCTTTAGTAGCGAGTAGTCCCTTAGCTCCAGGATAGGTAGCCAGCCAAGATCCAAAATGGTAGATATACTGTTTACATATTTACAAGTGACGAAACTAGCCATAGCGAACTGGAGCCTTTGTAGTCTAGCTAAGAGGAATTTTGGTAGTGGATAAAGAACAATGACACAGTAGCTTATTTTAGACGGAATTACTGTTTCTACCAAATGTTTCCGTAAAGTTAAAGTAAAGTCAAAAGTTAAAGTTAAAGTCAAATTTGTAAAGTTCCTTATTTTTCTTAAGGTTCTCAGAGTCGCATGACAAGATTTAAGAATAGAACTGATATGAAATTCCCATTTAAGATTTGAGTCAATGTGTACTCCCAGGAGTTTTGTAACATTTATACGTTCCAGTGGTTTACCGGAGATTTCTAATCCCAGCTCCAGATTTCCGAGAGAATGTACATGAGCCATCCTTTGGAGTTGAGATAAGAATGGCCTTGGATTTCTTAGAATTTAGGGCCAGGTTTGAATCATTTGACCAGGCGCCAAGGCCTGCCAGGGTTGCATTCATGCTTTCCGCTTGAGATGTGATCTGCGGTGTAGAACAGCTAGAGTATAATGTTGTATCATCGGCATATTGGAAACTTTTGATTGTAGGTGGAAGAATGTCTTGGAGATCCGCAACGTAGACTAAC